CTCCCCCTTCTGACTCTATCTGCTATCTTTCTGATCTCATCTACCTGTACTAGTCTTTCAACTACTCATTCTACTCTATCAAGCTGCCCCATTTACTGTTCCTCAAATTTGCCAAGAGAGACTCTGCTTCAGACCTTAAAGCTGGTGTTCCCTCTAGACAAATCATTCTTCCTATGTCTCCATGGCTAACTCACTCATCTCTTTTTGGTCTTTACTCAAATATTAGCTTCTTAGCAAGGTCTTTCCTGGCTATTCTAACATTGTATCACCTCATATATGCTCCTTTACCTACCTCCATGCTTTTTTCCTTATTTATTTTATTCATTTCTGTCTTCCCTACTTCCATCATTACAGGTGGGTCATAGTCTTTCCAGACAACTGTAATAGAATGGCATTGTCTATGTGACTTAGAAACAAAAGAAATTTATATCTCAGGCTGGGAAGACCAAGATCAAAATATTGGTAAATTCAGTGTCTGGTGAGAACCCATTCTCTAGTTATTGATGACCATCTTCTTACTGTAACCTCATATGGTATTAGGGTGAGAAATCTCTCTGGGATCTTTCTTTAAAGGACATTAATCCTATTCATGATAGTTCTGGCCTCATAATCTAATGGACTCCACCAAATCCCACCTTCAAATATCATCATTTTGGAGGTTCGAATTTCAACATATGTATTTTGAGAGGACACAGTCAGATCATTATAGCTAGTATGTCTGTTTCTGTTCACTGTATCCTTAGGACCCACAGCATTGCCTAAAACATTGTAGGCAGTTATCAGAGATTTCAAATATCAGGAATAAGATAATTGTTTTCACAGAGTTAAGATATAAAAATAACAGAGAAAAAGATTTAGACAATAGGATAAGAATTATTTGTTTAGTGACAAGCTGAAAGTGGAAAGTGATATAAAGGAAGCAAGTGCAGCTAGTCTCTAGATCCCTCATGTAGGACACCAGGTAGATGTGAGTGACATTCACCAACATTAGAAATAATGGGAGGTGAATGAAGGCCAAGGGAAAAGATAACAAATTCAATTTTAAACTATTCATTTAAGGTGGTTGTAAAACATCCATAAGACATTGTGTGAATAACTGGAAATGATAGTATGGAGCTCAGAGAGACAAGGGTTAAAGATATATCTCAGGAAATATCCTACTGAGTGCTTGCTAAAACCATGACATGGATTGGGATCATTGAAGGAAGCTGCATAGCAGAAGAGAAGCTTTGTTACTATCATACCTGAAATCTCATTTAAATGAACACAAAATTATCTAAAAGTTCTTTCCATATATATCGTGTATACCTGAATTTACAATAAATCCTGTGACTCACTTCTCTCTTTCTTTCAGGTAATGGGAATTTATTGTCAAATTACACTATTAATTCATAGTTCAATATTAAGCACAACTATATAGACACGGCAGAGTTTAATTAATAGTCCTATATAAATATATTGAGGTGATTTCAAATCAAATCAAATCAATAATTATTTTATGGCATACTTACCATGTATGTGTAAGACAAAGTCCTGGACACTTAAAAAGTCCTCAGTAGATGTTCATTGCCTTCAGTTCTCTCAAGTGAGATCACAATAGTTCTTTCCTGTTCCCTGAAGTTTGTGGGAACTCAAGGAGTAATAGCATATAAGGAATTTTATGCTCTTTAATTCAGACCTATCTGGTTTTCATTTCTGTTTTTTTCTCCTGAAAAATCATGAGTTATTTGCTGCCTTCGCCTCACTTTTCAATAGTCAAAATGGAATCTTAATAGAGACTTTAAAACTATTATAGAAATTTGCAATATACATGTATAATGCCTGACAAAAGGCTTTCATGAAAAAAGTGTAGAAAGATATATTCCAACATTCATGTCATTTTCTTTAAGTTAGTAAAGCAAAGAGGAGAAGCTAGTTAAATATATAACATATTACAACTGATTATTTGGTATTCTATTTTAATGCAACCATTAAAAATCTCATTGATCAGAATTATGCATTGAAAGCAAAATATTTTTCTTGCACAGATTTCTACTGTATTATAAGTCAAAATTCAAACAGTGTTTACAAACATGTTTTTTATAATAATTTACCAAGTAAAGATTGTACATAATTCAGTTTGTGTCAACATAAACTTTATAATCAGCAACATGCAGAGGTTTGACAATATGTTACACTGCCAATAAGACAGCAGATACTTTTTCAGCTGTTTCTACAGGGTGGAACAATTGACTTGTATGTAATCATGGCTTGTAAGATTAAGGTAATTTGACTCCACCCTTTGTTTACTGAGTCATATGTCTCATGGTGCTTTTCAGTCATTGAGTTTAAGATGTGTTCAGTGAACTGAAAGAAAAATTGGCTCTAAAGTCATTCTAATGGGAGGCTCATCCAAGCTAGGCTGACTCTAGGATTTGGGGTTTTTGTTTTTTGTTTTTTTGCCTCCACTTTAATCCTTGTTTTTCGGTACCTCAGTAATTTTCACTCAGATTTCATCTCTGGCAATACAATCAATACTTAATTGCTCCAAGGAGGATTATCAATTGGAGACATTTAACCCTTTGGATTTTCCCCTGCCTCCAACTCTGTCTGCCACTACTCAGCAACAACTAATATTTACAGAATTCATTATTTACATTAATTTCATATACTGTGCTTTTGTGATCACATGTAACTACACCACAACCTCATGCAGTAACAGATAACTAAACTGAGGCTCAAAAATTTAGCAAATATCAAAGTGCTGATTTTCTCCCAAATGTTGTTCTTGTGATCAGTATCAGTGAAAGTTTTCACCAGTATAGCAAAATAAACAAACAGATAAATATAGTAAAAAAATTATAAAGCTGTATTATTCATCTCTTTTTATTATTAGGTTATTTCCTTCCTATTTTGCATGTATCTAAATGGATTTTTATAAAATGATCATGTTTGAACAGGGTCAGTTTTTATGACTTAAAATGTGCTAATTAAAACCTAGTAATATGTAAATTTAGAATCCACATGATGCTTGTAGGGTGTTTAGTATTCAAATCTTTCAGTTGTTTTTGATGTTCAAAAATTCCCAAAATAAAATATAGCAAAAGTATACAAAAAATTAAATGTACTTATTTAACAAAATTGAAAGTGGGTATATTCATGTGAATTTCCAATAATCTGAAAAGTTACTGGTCTCACTGGTTTGTGAATTGGTTAGAGCCCAAACTCCACCATGTGGAGTGAAACCTGTAAAACCTAATATCTGGAAACTGTTGGTTTTTTTTAACATTTTTTTAGTTGTTTATGGATCTTCATTTCATTTATTTGTTTATATGTGGAGCTGAGAATGGAACTCAGTGCCTTACACATGCTCTACTAAGCAGTCTACTACAGAGCCACAACCCCAGCCCTGGGAATTATTGATCTTACATCAGATTTTTAGTGAAACAAAACAGAAAAAAAATGGAATTCTGACTAGAATCTGATTAAATGAAACTGCTTTCCAACTCTGTGAAGATTTTTTTTTAATATTTTTTTAGTTGTTGACAAACCTTTATTTTATATACTCATGTGTGGTGCTAAGAATCGAACCCAGTGCCTCACACATGTTAGGCAAGCACTCTACAACTTCAGCCCTTCTGTGAAGGTTTTCAAATCTGGAACAGACCTGGAAGTTAGTACTTGCAACTATTATTTATAAATATTATAAACATTTATAAAATACCTATATATGCCATGTACCCTAAAATGTGTCACAAAGACCAGCATGAAAACCATCTTTACTTTCATGGTGTTCAAACCCTTGTGAATAACCTATTTAACTACAAATATTTAATTTTTAATGTTTATTTAATATAACCTCATTTAATCTTCAAAACAGAGGTAGGTATTGTTTCCATTTCTTAGATAAAATGTCTTAGATAAACTTTAGTATGTTCCTAGGGATTGTACCCAGGTGGTGGTGTATGCCTGTAATCCCAGCTATTTGGAAGGCTGAGGCAGGAGAATCATAAATTCAAGGACAGTCTGGGTAACTTTCTGAGACCCTATCTCCAAATTAAAAAAAAAAAAAAGTATTGGGAATGTAGCTCAGTAGTAGAGCACTTGCCTACCAGAGCAAGGCCATGGGTTCAATCCCTAGAATCTAAAAAAATAAATAGATAGATAGATAAATAAAATAAAACAAAATAAAATCACAGTCTCAGATAAATGGCAAGGAGAACCAAAATTCACAGCCAACTCCTCTTGTGCCCTCCCCTGTGGGAGTGTGTGTAACTCTCTGTGTAGTGGAGGGAGTGAGGCAGTGAAAAAGGTCTTCCTGATTGATATACTTAATAGAATATGAAATACTGTACTACTACACTATTACAAATCTACTGACCTACACTGCTGTTGACAAATTAATGGGGGGAAATGGTAAATTACAGAAATCCTCTGGTGTTGGAGCAATTCTAATCCATTTCAGGTGCTGGCTACTCTCCTGGATCCCAGCCCCTTGTTTCTGCCCACATTATCATTTTTAATAATATGATTATCACAATGAAGATTGCTTCTGATCTTACTCCCTCAACCCCTACTTCTTTCCTCTTCTCCACCCTTCTTGTCTTCCAAAATTATTTCTCTTTAGTATGTTCCTAGGGATTGTACCCAGGTGAGGCGGGTTGCTACAGTAATATCTAGTCCATTCTCTTGAAAAGCATTGCTGCAAAAGACAATGATAAGTTATTCTTGAGAAATACACCAATTGTTAGAAATTTCTAACAGAAAGCAACTCCAAACCACAGCTCAGATTTCCTTATGTTTCCATCAAATTACTTAGTCAATAATTTTGTGCAGGAAAACAATAACAACAAACCCTTGAAAGAAAAAAACATTAAAAGAGAACCTTGCTCAGTTCAGGTTCATTTCTAGGACTATATTTCCATCAGTGGAGCTAAGAGACTGAGAAAGACAGAAGATTATAAGCATGGAAATGATTGATTTTCTGAGTGAAACAAGTGACCTCTTCTCTTTCTCTTCAGACCAGCATGGGCGCCATCAAATTCGAGATTCCTGAATCCATATATAGTATGTTTCATCACCGTGGCAGTGGTGGTGATCCTGGCAGTGATCGTAGGTCTACTTATTCACTTTTTAGCTTTTAGTAAGTATCAGAGACTATTACTTTTCAGACTAAATAATTAAATATACTTTCAGATTAAAAATATGATCTCTCTTGTTACTACTTATTTCTTAATACAAAGTGATCTTAGAATGCTTCTCTACTTTCATATCTATATTTCCTCTCAATAAGCATTTTATCTCTTCTCCTTTTGAGTCTTTTTAAATATACAAATAATACATCTTTAATATATCAAACATTGCTACCCATGCAAGAACCATTCTAGACAAAAAAAGAAAGTCATCATACTTTTCTGATGTTAAAATTTGGTTCATTTTGGTTTTTTGTTAATACCATGATTGCCTTCCTCATTTAACCTCTTAATAAAATCATAAAACTTAAATATTGTAATGAACCTTAAGTTTCACCAGCTAAAATTTGTATATGGCTAAGAATTTATTAATTCACACTCCATCTCTTAAAATCAGATTTTTGTAAGCAAAACAGTTATGAAGACCAGTAGATGAACTTGCAGTTGAGAAGTAGAAAGGGGTAATGCCAAACTTTAAAAAAGATTCTGTGCTTTTATCATTTGTTTCTCTTATCATTTGTTTTTAACATTTTTATATCACCAATAAGATTAAAAAACATGGACTAGAAAAATAATAAAAGAATACACAGTTTATTCATTCACAAATACCTTTCCTTAAAATCTTGATGAATATTCTTTCAGAAGCTTTCACATATAAAATGTGTCAAGTTTTACTATGCAATAGCAAGCATCATAATCTTTTTTCACTTAAGTATTTCTTTGTGGTTATTTATTTTTATTTTAGACATAATTATGATAAATCATTTAAATACTGTGCATGAATGTACCAAGTGGCATGTGTCTGGAGAGAAAAAGAGAGAACATAATTTATCATATATCCTAATGTAAACAGGTCAAAGTCCTTAGCTATAAAAAGGCTGAAAAATTCACAATGATGCAATAAAATTACCAAGCTAGAGAAAAATATTAATATGGTATAATTTTACATGATCAAATATAAAGACTATAGCTAAATTTTGCTTTTGACTATATTTTGCTATCAAATCACCTGGAGTTAACTATCAGTAAGAATAATTACAGAAGAAGGAAAAAGACATCAAGTTTCAAATTATATTAATTGAATTTCACTCCTAATGAGATTCTCTTATAACATTGGAACACAAAGAGGAGGTACTTACTTTAGTGAATCCTGTTTAAATAATGTCCCAGTAATCACTTATAATGTCAAAATGACTTGTCCCTCAGTTACAAAGACCATCCTCTCCATAGGATCTCCAACTCTTTCCTCAAACACTTCTCTGCATAAGTTATGTACATAAATGATAAAAATAAAGCATCAATTTTTTCTAAGAAAGGTTATTTTGGGTTATGTCCATATTCATGATGTTTCTGAGTTGTGTACAGGTGTGTTTTAGGGATCTTGGTCTTAACACAGCCAAATATATATTCTGGAAGATCCTTTTTGATGAAAACAGCTCAGAGTGGATTACCAGATTAGATATGCTGTCAGAAAATTTATTTTCTAGCTTTTTCAAAAAAAATTAAGTCAAATCACTAATTCCATTAAGCAATTTTATTTGAAATAATTTTTTAAAATTTTTTTAGTTGTAGATGGACACAGCACCATTTTTTATTTTATTTATGTTTATGTGGTGCTGAGGATCAAACCCAGTGCTTCAATATGTGCTAGGAGAGCATTCTACCATTAAGACACAACTTCAGATCCTTGACATAACTTTTAAACTATTCAGTTATTTGAATTCTTCCATAGAAATAAATGAATAGTATATTAAAATATTTAATATTTCTTAAATGAATAAGCCACAAAGCTCCCTAAGTTATAGTAAGAATGAAAACTATAGCACTCTGAACAATTTTTTTAATATAGCAACTAATTTATCTATAATGTCACCTTTATCAAATGCTCAATTCCTCCTTTCTATTTTTATTTATTTATTTTTATGTGGTGCTGAGGATTGAACCCAGGCCCTCGCATGTGCTTGGTGAGCACTCTACTGCTGAGGCACAACCCCAGCCCAGCACTCTGAACAATTTTTAATGTCTCAAATAATAATTCTACTATGATATTAATATAGCTTTCACAATTCTAGCTTTGCCAATCTTTATAAATATTGAAAGAAAATAATTTTACTGTAGGTACCTATATATTAAATATATAGTTTTCTATCTTTCAAGTAAAGCAAATTTTAATTGTATAATATAACTTCCCATAATCCTGAATAAAATGAAGATTCAACTACTTGAATACTTATGTGAGATTAATCTTTTTTTTTCTTTCTTCTTCAGATCAAAAAGCTTGCTTTTACCATAGCAGTTTTCAAATACTAAACGTTGAATATAATGATCAGTTAAGTTCACCAGCTACACAGGAATGTAGGAGTTTGAGTGAAAAGATTGAATCTATGGTATGTGGATATTGTCTTTATTCCATTGTACGATTATCATTAATAAACCTAACATTTTAAGGTATATTTCAATTGCTTGATTCTCTGCATATTTTCCTCTCTTGAATGGTGAAAGACGTGTTTATCTATGCTTTCTCCAAGTTAAATTGCTAATATACTGGTTCTAATCACATTTTCTTAAGTCATGAGTGACATATCATCTATAACAGTTTCTCAAGATTTTCCCTGATTTTGAAAAGTTTGAATTTGAACTTTGGTCAGGTATTTGGTAGAAAGTCCCATAATTTGGGTTTTCTGCTATTTTTTTTTCATATGGTGGGATTCTGGGTTTTGGGTAGGGAGACTATGGATACAAAGTGTCATTTTCATTACCTAATATTGAAGGCGTTCATTATTACTAAATTGATTTAGCACTGTCAACCTTGATTACTGGCTGAAGTGGTATTGGTCAAGTTTGCACAGTATAGTTATTCCTCCCATTTCCATATTATACTCTTTTTAGCAAGCAGCCCACATGTAAGGAGTAGAGGACAGAAGAGTTATGCTTTGAATATCTGAAGAATATTTGAAATTTTTCTGTTTATCTGTTGTCCTCCTGTATGTAATTAAAATATTTATTTTAATGTCTGTGTTGGATTCTGGAAGTTCCCAAGTTTATACCTCCACCAGCAGATAACTATCAAGTATGCTTATTTCCCCACAGTATTAATATCAGGTGTTATAAATTATTTTAATTATAGCTAGTTCAACAAGTGAGAAATGATATTTCATAATTATTTTAGTTTGCATTTATTTGATTACCAGAGATTTAATCTGTTTCTATATACTAATAAATTATTTTTACAATTTTGTTTGTGAACTACTGATTATAACCTTGTCCAATTTTAATAGAGCCTTGTTTTTTAATATGAATTAGAAAAAACTTTTTGACTATTAAAATTTGTCTGTCATTCATGTTACACGTATTTCTATAATTTTCAGTCTTGTTTATAAGGTAGAGCTTATTATGCCAAGAAGAAGATTGAATTTTCATATGAACCAAATTATCGATCCTCTTTATAATTTTTCTCTTTTGTGCCAAGAATGACTTTCTTCACCCTAAATATTTTTTAAGAATTCATTTATGTTTTCTTTCTGTACCTAATTATTTCAGCTATTAAAATTTATCTTTGATTCATTGGAATTTTTAAGGTAGAGATTCAACTTTTCCCCCCACAAATAACTAGATGATGGTCCCAAAACAATGTGTTGCATAGAGCAACTAATTTATCCATAATGTCACCTTTATCAAATGTTCAATTCTTCCTTTCTTTTTTCTGTACTCTACTCTTTTTCCACTGATTAGTTTTTGTCTGACCTAGTACTAGATTATTTAGAGTACTGTGGCTTGATAATACATTTAATATTTCAAAATTTCTCTTGAAATCCAAAGGTCATACCATTTCCCAATGGTAACATGAGTGTCACAATTATCCTTGTCCCATAGATAATGTGGTAACAATGAGTTGTATAGTAGTCTTTATTCTATTATATTGAGAAATTTGCCCCTCTTTCTTATTCTGTTTATTCATTAGTAAAATAAAATAGTTGAACTAGATGATTTTTACTGTATATTCCCATTGAAAAAAATCTATGATTTTGTGATTTTTTTATGAGAGATATGCATGTCACGCATTCACCTATTTTTCTTACCCTGCCTCTCTCACCATTCCTTCTCTATACACTTTTTTGTTCATCATCCTCTTAACCACCATTAAATGGTAAAATTCCTCAAGGGTTTCACTTACACTCTCCCCTCCTCTCACACTATATTCTACCTTTAGATTATCTAATCCCTGTCCATTACTTTAAAACTTATATACAAATGACTTACTTTATCTACAGCTTAGACTTTTATCTGCTCTTCAGAGCTTTGTACCAAATTTCTAGGTTGCTCTCTTTCCATGGTTATTTCAAAACACCTCAAATATATTTTGCCCCAAATCAAATTTATAATGATTCCACTCCATCCTAAACTTTTCCAACAATCCCTTTTACAATTAATTATAATGCTTTTTATTCTGTTATCTCAACCTGAAACCTAGGATTCATCCTTAAAACACTTCAATCATTCCAAATAACCCACCCATCACCATGAAGAAAAACCTTTGAAAACGTGCCTAGCATTGTACTCATCATTAGGTGACAGGGTATTCTTTTGCTGTGCTGGAATTATGTGAAGTATGCTATCTATAAAAAGTCTCAAGCACACATAAAAATTGAGAAATAATTAAAATATCATGTTTCAAGGATTTTGAACATATTTCTTAAAAACATATAAAATATAACATATTTTATTTGATTTGCAAGAATAACTAATTAGTAATAGAGAAAATGGAAAGCCTGATGCTTAATTTCAACAACTGTTGTATGATGGGTGAGAATGACAACTTAGGGTCATGGTTTATTAAGTTCTGGCAGTCATAAATGTCATACATTTGGACCACATTAACTATGTGGAAATGTTTTCAGCACTTAAAATCAAAGATTAAATGTAAACTGTAATCAGATCTTCAAATCATTTTTATAAACCCTGTCCAGTAATATCATAACCATGAAAATATTATCTTTAAAAGTGGAATTAAATACCTATTTTTTATAAGTTATCCTCTATTATTTCTAACTTTATGTTTTATAAAGTACATTGTTCATAATACATTATTATTACATGTATATAATTTAAAATTTATACTGTACAAATGCTTTGGCAATTCATGGATAAAATGTTTTACCCATAGGAGTGCATGATTAAAATATTATGTTTTGAACATGAGGTGTCCTTCTGAATCTCCTTTGAACACAGGAATATTCAGAGGTAAAATGACTAGATTATAAGAGCTGTAAGTTAATCAGTCCATTCTAGTTTAAATTGACTGATGAGGTGACAACTATAGTCAGGTGGGTAGTCAGATGGACATGGCTGGAGGAGATGGATTGATGGAAGTGTGCCCTGGAAGGGTGCAACTTTCCTGCAGCCCCATTCCCCTGCTCTCTCTCTCTACTTCCTGACCTCACCATGAGATAAGTATCTTTCCTCAGTTAGGTCCTTTCCACTGTGATGTGCTGTCTCTCCTTGCCCCATAGAAATGGAGTCAGCCATCTATGGGCTGAATCCTCTGTAACCATGAACCCCAAATAAATTTTCTTCCTCTAAATTGTTCTTGTCAGGTGTTTTGGCTACAGCAATGATAAAGCTAACCAAGAGGATGAGGCAGGAGGATGGCAGGTTCAAAGCCATCGTCAGCAACTTAATGAGGCTATAAGCAACCTAGTGAGACCCTATCTCAAAATAAAAAAATAAAAATAAAAATGGCTGGGAATATGGCTCAGTGATTAAGTGACCTTGAGTTCAATCCCTGGCACACACACAAAAAAACTGAAACTAGTAGAGTAATAGATCATATAACCATATAACAATATATCTTCCATCTTTTCCTTGAAAACAAGATTTCTAGACCTTCTGATTAAAGTTTAAAATAAAGAAGTGGAAAGTAAATAAGATCGCAAAAACATTATTACTATTATTCAGCTTGTAAGCAACACGAAAAACTATAAGTATCAAGTAACAAAGCTTGGAAGAGGGTGATTTATCTGACACATTTACATGTAGCTAATAAGTTTTTTTTTTCTCTCTGAAGATGAAAAACGTGCCAAAAATCTGTGTGTAGTTTTCCCCCTTTATATTACCTGCTCTGCTAACAAATTTAATGATATTCACTTTGTTAGAATTTACCTAATCCATATCTAACTAATCCTTATTGACTAAGAATATTACTGAGGTTGAGGATTCTAGACTACCTTAGAATACAAGAATAGTATTATCATCCTCAATCAGGAAGAAAATATAAAACAGGTCTTCCTTTTTTCATTGTTTATTTGTTTTTTGCCCAATGTAATAAAAAAGGTCAACAATATAGGTTACAAAATCAAATGAGTGTGGAAAGTAATTCATTTGAATAGATTAATACATTTGGAAGGAAGGAAAATGTACAAAGATTGAATGTCAAGCTTACTAAAAGTAGATACAATAGTCTCTGTGAGTTGCAACAGTCCAACTGTATATACATAAATCATTTTTACTTTTGACTACATTCCTTTTACAGATGGAGAAACTGAAAGGAAAAAAATAGTTACTCATTTCATTAAAGTTCTTTAGCAAGCTAAATCAAATTGTTTTCATCTATTGCCCTTTCTACTATTCCACTGGTATACTTTTCAAGTATCAACTCATTGATTTTCTAGCAATCATTTAATAAGTTCCAAAGATAAAGTCAATAACAAAATTTTCATCCACTCTGTGAAATATGTAATCTCATCTCTTCCTTTGTTTGGACATTCATGTCAACCAACTAATGGATTTTTAATGTTTATTATCTTAAGCATCTCTAAATGTCTTATAATGTTTTTCATACAATGAACATGTCAAAATTAAAGTGGATCTTTTACACTTTAATCCAGTAGAAACTTGCCTGTGCAATGTCCAATTATGAATTAAAATATAATAATAAGAAATATTTGTTTAAATTTTAGCTATTGCTTCAGCTTTATTTCAGTTTTTATATTCATTAAAGTCAAGTAAGATTAAATTTAAATCCTTTTATTGAAGTACCGTGTGTAATATACCACATTACTAAAAATATTAAAATACATCCTTCTATTTAGATAACTGGAATATAGAGCAAAGAATGACATCAATAGTTAATTCTAGGTGATAGAGTTTGGAGTGATTTTTTTTTTCTTACTGCTTGCTAGTATTACTTGAATTTTAAAAAAGGAACTTGAATTATTTTAATAAAGTCAATCATTTCATTGTTCTAAAGAATATTCAAGGTCTCTTTGAGAAAAAAATTATCTTTTTAAACAACTGATTGGTCTGATATCAATCCACTGATAGGAATGGATTCAAAGTAAGATACATTGTGATATAATAGAAGTTGCATAAACTTTTGAAGAGGTGGCTTCAAATCCTGGCTAAATGTAATATTCGGCATACTATTTAATTCTCCCATCTTTACATTTTCATGTCCATTTCCATCAGGGAACTACTCACAATGCAAGCTTAAGTAATCTACTCTCCATTATAAAACTACAGCTGATCCTGCAACACAGTAAAACTATATCAGTTATAGCAGCACTCTTCCTTGACTGTAAGGCTAAATTTTATATTCCAAGACAGCTCATCATTTCTAAGACTGAGCAATGACTCAGGGAAATAGTTATGATTAGGTCAAAAAATTACCAAATAATGCTAAAAATAACCTGTTGAGCTTAGTCATAAATCAGAAATGACAAGGAAAAGACTGTCCTTTGCTTCTTTTCCCATTCTCTTCAGGCTTTCCATTGCTACTCACTTAATCTGCTTTAATCTAGTTTTATCCATTTTAGAAATAGCTGTTGGGTATCACACATGGTAACTTGTATGAGTGAACTTCTCTAGTGTTAATTTGGCTGTTACACCAATACCCTTAGAAACATCTGCCAAGTCCCTTAGAGAAGATAATGCTAAGTGAAGTCAGCCAAACCCCCCAAAAACAAATACCAAATGTTTTCTCTGATATAAGGAGGTTGACCCATAGTGGGATTGGGAGGAATAGATGAATTCTAGATAGGGAAGAGGGGTGGGAGGGAAAGAGAGGGAACATGGTATTAGCAAGGATGGTGGAATATGATGGACATCATTATACAAAGTACATGTATGAAGACTTGAATTGGGTGTCAACATACTTTATATACAAAGATACAAAAATTGAGGTATATATGTGTATTAAGAATTGTAATGCAAAAAAAAAAAAAGAATAGCATTACCATAGATTAGGTAAAGGGAAGTGAAGGAGGGGAAGGCAGGGAATGTGGGGATAAGAAAGATAGTAGAATGAAACAGATATTATTACTTTATGCATGTATGTGACTGTATGACCAATGTGATTCAACAATATGTATATACTCAGAAAAATTAGAAATTATATTCCATCTATGTATAATATATCAAAGTATATAAGTGCATTCTACTGTCATATATAACTAATTAAAACAAATAAAAAAATTTAAAAATTCAAAAAAGAAACATTTGCCAAGTCACAAAACAAGCTCTCATGAAGTAAAATATCTGATGCAATTTGGATGAGGTCTAGTAAAGACACATGCTGTCACTATCATCTCTGCTTAATAGAGGAAGAAAAGCACAATACATTAAAAGGTTATAGAGCCTGCCTGAATCAATCCCATGCTTTTGTGATTAAACTGAAGTAAACTCAATTGAAAATTTAGGCCTCTATTCCTCATTAACTTAAGTCCTACATTGAAGGTTGGGAGAAAAGAAAGAAAGAAATGTAATTATAGAAAGTATTTTTTTCCTTGTATTTCTACAGATTGCTAAAACATTGCGAGAGTCAAATTTAAGAAATCAGTTCATGAGAGCTCATGTTGTCAAACTGAGGTGAGTGAAACTATAAGAAAAACTATATAAGCATAAATGAAATTTGTCACATTTGACTTTTGTTCATACCACAGATAATAAATGGCATGCTCATGAAGTTTACTGTAACAATATGAAAATAGAATCCTGGGCAACTTTTAAAAATTTCAAAAATATCCTATATGGCTTATTTGGCTACTAATATGAGTACCAAATGACTTCAGTTCTTAATGGAGAAGGAAGAAAAGATTCAGGGAAACTTGGAATAAAGGTACTATAATAGAGTCATCTGAATCCAGATGGCATTTACAATGCAGTCTACGTAAAATATGTCTCCTGCTTCAGTTCTGGGTATATTCATCCAATATCAGGATATGATAACCAACATCAGAAGTGGCTTTTTAATTTCATCTGGCTGGAATGCTGTAGTAAAAGGATGTTGCAGCCAAATCCATGACATTTCTGTCATGGACTAATACGAGCAGGAGTATGTGTACTAGGTTTTTACAGTTCCTGTCTTAGTTAAATATGTACATGTCCATATGATATTATTAGGTTGATCCTCTCCTCCAACTAATATAGTCACCTTGATTGACTGACCCTACCCAAAACATCTTAAATGTACACATTCTTAAATGTACTCAGTCCTTCAAATAATATACAAAAGTTCTTTGATAGGCAGAGAAATTATACTGTTCTTCTCAAGAACTCATTTATAAAAATTAAGTACATAGCTCTAGGTATTTTGGAAAATACCCTTCCCACAGACTGTTCCTACTACTTTAACTCCTGGGAGTTGAAAGTCTGTGGGAAGGGTATTTTCCAAAAGCATAATCATTTCACTGCATATTCACCTTAGTACATTGTTGTAAAAACATCTGTACCAGTTATTAATGCTCAACTGTTTAAGCCCTCAAAACTTATATGACTAAATCAACCATGTGAATTTCCTTTCCTTTGTTAATTTCACACTTACTATTCAATCTACTGCAATTTTGTTCTTGATGACACCACAGAATACACACTGCTCTTGCCAAGTTCAACAAAGACAGCCAAAGTACAAAATACAAATAAATCATATTAGCACTCCTCTTGCACCTCTCAACAGTATTTGGCACTGCTGCCTATCCATAATGCCATCCCTTGGTTCCTATGACCCTACTCAGCCTCAATTCTCCTCTTACTTCTCTAGCTGCTCCTCAATTTCCTTTGCCACCTCTTGTCCTTTCTCTGTACATTCCTCAAATATTATTGAACAGCAGGCTATACTGTGAGCCATGCATCTTCTCAGTTCACATTCTCTCTTTTCAATGGCTTTATCACCAATTATGTTTATTTGCCTCAAAGTTCTATCTCTGGGCCAGTCCTCTTTCATCTCTAGACACACAGAGTCATCTCTTGATACTACAACATGAATATCTTACAGACAACTCAACTTTAATATATCCAAACTTGAACCTATCATCACTCCTCAGATATGCTATTCTTCTAGCATTGCCTGTCTCCATCGATGACATCACCATCAACCTAGTTGCTCAAGAAAGAAATCAAGGACTCATCTTTAATTCCTACCTCTCTCTTAAACCCACACATCTCATCATTTAATCCTTAAAAGTTCTATTTTCTGACTATCTCCAAGATCTGTAACTCTTCTTCAAATACACTTCTATCATCCATTTTACTCCTGGAGTATGAGGTACCTCCAACCCTACAGTCTTACTCCACTCCACACTCCATGTAACAGAGAGAAAGATTTTTTAAAACAAAAATTCAAACATCCTATACCCAGAGTTAAAGCCTTCCTAATGGCAACTCTTCACTCATATTATATATGAGATTTTATACATATAAATATAACTATATATACACACATTATATATCTATATTAAAGATATATGTATTTTATACATATAAATATAACTATATATACA